TTTTCGATTGATCAGAAACAACGATCGACCGAGTTAGAATATAAACGAAGCACGGTAACACTTCTGTCAACAAGACTTTACCAGCTCGAGGAATTCCTAAGGGATGCTCGAAGGAATTCCTCGATCGACCGTGCAAGCTCATTGGTGACACTTCACTCAAAGGACATTGTCGTCCTTTTGCGTCGTGCAAACACAATATGATTTCGGTGATGGAAACCTCTTTTCAACACGAAAATGTAGACGCAGAGACATTAGCCAGAAACGACCGATTCGGTTCACTCTTTCGACTATACGTGCTAAAATTTTTATCAGTTTGTGATAATAAACGGAATTTGGCAGTACACAATACGAACTCTAAAACATGGAATTACTGAGTTGGTAATTTATAATACGTTGAGTTACTAAACTTTTAGGTAATTGATTTTACTTTGTATTTTTCTCTCTGTTAAAGATTAATAATAAAATAAGATAAAATTTAAAAAATCCAAAATTCACTCTGACAACAAATGTCCGATGATTAATTACACCAATCCAAATATTAAAGAATTACCAAATTAACATCCAAATATTAAAGAAAATTGTTCTTGTAATAATGTTAATATTGGTAGATATTTTTCGTAAATATTGGTAATTATTATTGATATTAGTACAAATGACATTAATATTAAAAATATTTCAAGTATCATTTTTTAATAAATGCCGAATTAGTCGTTATAGATCGTGGCGAGACACATCGATCGTATGACATAGAACATTTAGACAGTTACAATGGCAGTGTCATTAGCTTCAATAAGTGCATCTATGAATCTAGTTACTTACCAACAATGATGGCCAATACGATTAGTGCGATGACGCCCATGATGATCATCATCTAGAAATAAGGTAACAGAAATGGGGTATTAAATTTGACGAAAATCTCAATAGGATTATATTAATAACGGGGGATTCGTTACCTTCAAATTTTGTAGCCAGAACTTCCTCTTCAGTTTTCCTGCTTGTTGTTCAAACTGTGACGCTCCTTGCTGAAGTGCGTCTAAAAAAAAACAAATTATTTCGATGAAATTACACGAGTTTTGTGAACTTTCAGAAAATTTCGGCTATTTATGGGATAATCAATTTCGTAAAAAATTCGTGAAATCCTCGTAAGTGTTGGCAGGAAATTGTTTGAATGTGAAGAGCCACGGACGTCGAACTTTTATGAAAATTACTGAAATTTAAAGAAACTATATTTCTTTGTTGATAATATAGAATATCAAAATATAGGATTTAAAAATACTTAAAGTATCGTTAATACTAGTAATCTATATTACGAGAAATATCTGTCTTTTGTATCATGAGAAATTTCATTTCTATTTTCTTATATAAAAAGGTATAAAATCTTCTTTTCTACTAAATATTTTTTCTCGAAGCAAAGTAAATATTCGATTTCTCTCGTGGATATTTTTGCGGGTATAAAAAGATTTATATAACTTGAAACCAAATGTGAATCTCCACTAACAATGAATTTATAATTGTTAAAATAAATTACGTATAAATAATAAAATACATACAGAGATAATAACTAATAAAAGATATATGCATATGACGCTAAAAAAGATGTAAAAAGACATTGACGTATCGTTATATAACTTCAAAGTTACACGGATGTTATAGAGGTGTTTGTAAAACATTCAGTGAATTTCCAAGTAATTCTCCAACTTTCTAACATCATCTTTGAATTATTCAAAAAGTCGTGCAAGACCAGTGAAAAGTTCAGCTAACGATCAAGCTGCGTGCAAAAAGTGAAAAAGATCGACGATGGTCAGCCCCGTGACACGGCATCGATTCGAGAGCGTTACAGTAATCGATATCAACGTAGAGTGAGACGCGCAGGGTCGAACTACTTTAATGTCGCGACGAGAATGAATGGAGAGAATATCCTTCGAGCAAACGTAGCGAACAACTCGTCCTTCGGTTTAATCCGTCGCTTTGTACGCTCGTAATCGTGCTACGTGTATTCCTACTTTCCCCATTTAACCATTATGACATTCCTCCTGTGAAAACTTTCGTTGTATATCGGCAACGATGCATCTAGGTATAAAACGCGAACTGCAGACACAGAGGACGTCACGTGTCTCTCGTTTAGTCACCGTTCCTTGTTTTCCTCTTTCATGGTCCGCCGTCACTCGATATTTAAACTTTTTAAATTTTCACGCGAGTATAAAGTGTCTCCTGCCTCTCGTTTTTTTTTTTTTTTTCTTTTTTTAAAGTGCAATTTATTTTTCATTTATCTGTACTTAACAAGCTGCCTTGTATAATCGTGAATTTTTGTGCACTTAGATATGTGATTTAAAGATGCAGATAAATGCATATAAAATACCCAAGGTATTTCTTATAATGTTTATTTAAATTTTATCCTCTTAGTTACATTTATAAAAATACAAAGTATAAAAAGTCTATCTGTTAACCTGTCTAAGATTCGAACTCTTATTTACTGGATAGCAAAAGATTCCGTCCCTTTAAAATTCGAAATGTGAAAAGTCTGTCTAGTAAGCTGTTCTTCGGATGATTGGAAAATTCAATCAGTCATTAACTGGAACTTCATATCAACGAACGGAGAGCATTCTACCGCATTCTCTGTTATTAAGAAATGAATTTAACAGGTAAGAAATAAGGGAGAGATAGAGTTTGGATCTTACCTGCTCGATCATCGAGCTCAGACAGCTTTTGATCACGTTCCAACACTTTTTCAACATTCGTTTTCATAATGTCGACGACCTCGTCCACCTGCGCCTGCGTCGCCTGCAATCGTTTCTGCGAGGCGATCTGCTGAGGTGTCCTGGGACCTCCGACGATTCCATCGGAACCCGCACCTGCACCTGCACCCGCAGCAGCATCCGGTGCTAAACCGCCTTCGGTGGCCCTGAAATACACATCAATTTCCCTCATTTTTCATTCTGTCCTTCTAGCCGAACAACTTTCATCATTTAGTATCTATCCGATCTAAAGTGGCTATAAATCCCCCTCATTTCTTTCTTTTTCTCACTTTCGAAAGATAGAATCCCGCATCAAATCAAGTACATTTATTTATTACTAGACTACAGATTTCAATGCATTTCAAGTACAGAAAAGTGCAAATTTGCAAATTATATGAAAAAGTGAAAACATGAAACAATATTTGTCACGTAAAAATAATCTTCTTAAAATAACCTTTCACGTATCTTTCTTTAAAAATCAATTTATATTAAAATCCGATTAAAGTCTACTTATTAACCTAATAGAGTAGAGTTTCCTATTTTTCTTACTATCCAATTGTTCTTCGTACATCCATCATCTATTTTGTCCAGAGTATCTATTAAATTTCATACATTTCGTCAACTAAGAAATTTCCTCCGCCAGTGTTATCCTCCTTGGTATTCCTTCGAAGGAGGTATCGAGGGAAAGAAGAATATTTGAAACACATTCCCGATGGAAGGAAATTTCAAAGTCTCATTATCATCGGCGAGTTAAATTCTCGGGGGTGGAAATTGAATGGCAGATAGAGGAAGTAATGCACACGTTGGAAGATTAAGGGCGAGTGGGAATCTCAAAGTGTCTAGACCGGTTTTCGCGAGATAAGCGCTCTTTGAAAGAGGATCCAGTCTCGGAAATAACTAATCTGATACTCTTTCTTTTTTGTTTCTTCCCTCCTTTTTTATCTTTCCCTTGCTACAGCCTTTTATTAAATTTGCATCATTGTCCAAGAAAGAATCAGAATAGACGGTGACCCATCTGTGCATTGAATTTCTCGTGAAAACATCGTCGACGAATGAAAGCGTTGCAATGAAATATTCTCCCACGTGAGCGACCTTTCTTCGTCATGATTCGTCGTTAAAAATTTTGGAACTTTTAATATAATTGAATCTCCTTATCGAGGACGTGAAATGAAATGAAACTTTAATAATATAACGAGCAATTATACAGTGTAAATTATTATATTTATTCATAACCTGATAGTATTCGATGATTAATATCAATTAATCAGATTTAATTCATCATTTTTATATTTCATTTCATTTGAATCTGCATATAGATACGTTGTATCAATTAAAACGCATGAAATACGAGATGAATTGAAATACAAATTTTAATGATACAACATAAATTATTAATAGTTATCTTCTATAATCCACTAGTCGAAGGTTAATATCAATCAACGTTTTGTCAAATGTAATTCATTATCTCTATGTTTCATTTCTCTTGGGTCAGTGTGTGTGCGTGTGTGCGTGTGTGTGTGTGTAGGTACGTTGTGTTAATTAAAACGCTTGTTGTGTCCACAAGTCAAAGGTTTTCTAGATCCGGCTGAGGATCGCAGAATGCTTACTGTGTTTCTCAGAAGCTGTTTCTCACAAATACATTATAACTCGATCCTCTATTTTATGGTGTACGCTGCAATATTTTCATCGAACCATCGAGGGCGGTGGCAAATATGAAAGGCCAAAGTTCGTGACACGTTCTTGAAAAGCTGCGCGTACGACGACGTATTAGATGCGTGTCGTCTTATGACATCATCCGTCTCCATTATCACCACGTTCCAACATCCTCCGAGACACTGTACTAAATATTCTTCAAAGGAAAAAAACGACTCGAGACACCTACACACGGATGCAACTTAATTTCAAATTTAATAAGAAATTTAATTTACGGTTTTAACGAATCGTATTTTCCTTCTGTTCTGTTAAAAATATAAGGATAATGACCAGGTTGAAAAAAAAAAAAAGGAAAAGTTAATATCGATATGAACTCTTCTGGTATTTGAATTGACTTGACCGAACGTATCTTTAAGGGTTGACCTTTCAGTCAGGTTAAGACCTTTCAAGGAACAACGAGGATGTTGGTTCATGACAAGCTTGCGTTGGCGTTCCGTTGGTTTTACGTTTCAACGTCATGGGCAACTTTCATCGTGTTCTGTTATTCTGAATTATCGGCGCCGACACCCCGATCTCAATTATACCGATTTATCCCGACGTCCAGCAGCTGTGATTTATTTCCAACACGTAGATACACTCGATATATTTTGTTCTATATTGGTCCGATTAATTAAGGGATCACTTACATAAATAGCTTCCTCTCTCAATACGATATCCGATACAGTTGCATACGCGTAAAAACGTTGATACTTCTGAAACGCGTCTTTCACAATTGGAGGCTCTTTATTCATTCTCTTCAATCGACGAAATCTCGATGACGATATTTTACATAATTGAGATTTTTTTTTACATAATTTGATTCATTTTCTCTGTTCGTCTGTGGATCTTTTACGACGGAATTTACATATTTTACTTAATGAATTTTAGGTATAGATGGATATTAGAGGAGTGTTATAAAAATATTGTATTATTTCTGTGAAATTATAGAATATTGTAGAGAAAAGTATTCTTATACTATAGAAATATTATATACTTTAAACATTTCATGCATATCTTTTCCATAAATGGACAAAAATTCACAAATCCGTTAATGTTCTTTTTTTTGTCAATTTTAATGGAACAAGCTTAACAGAAAATTTCTCTATATGAGCGAAATTTTTAATAACAGTATCACTTCGTGTCCGGAATGCTTCGATTTGGGACGCGTGCTCGAAAAGGTAAATCAGGATTTCCGGACATGTCGAGTACCGGTGGCAGATTAAAAAGCAATCGAAGAGGTTGCAGATTTTATTTTTGGCAACCGATCGAACAACCGAGTGGCAACAATCGATCGATTCACCGATTCACTCGAATATTACTTCTACGAATAACTGTCCACTAATTAAACCGTGTCCACACTGATGTTCCCAAGCAATTCCTGAATCGTGTTCATTGAACTCATTAGTAGACGTTGATTCATTTAAGAAACATTTTCAATAGCAAATGTATATAATACAATATATAATATGTATAATATGATAGTGTAAAAATATTAGACATGTGTGAGAGCATATAATACATAAAACACTGGATTTATAATATTTTGTATATACCAAGTAATTTATATTCAAGCGAAATTTTTAATTGCAAAAATATATAAGAGTACAAGGTAAATAATTGTTAAGTAAAACAACTCGCGAACAGTTTCTAATTAATCTGGGCGCAACGTAAGAGAAATAAAACCGAGATCCTATAAACGCGAAAGGTGTGAATTATATTCCCTATGAAAAGTTTCTCTTTCCAAGTGGGGGAAATTTTTTTGTTACGGGGTAGAAGAGAGAAGCGTTCACCTGGTTTTAAAGCCTTTATGCGTTCAAGCGGCTTATATAATCGGATTAATATATCGATCGATGCAGGTACGCCGGTTATCATCATTATTGAATTATCTTCGAGTCAGCTACGAAATAGTTATCGTGAATATTATTTTAATCGTGGGATATATTACACGTACGTTCTCCTAACGAAATCTCCTGATGAAATTCTTTATCCAGTTTTCATCGAAATCCACGTTTCACAAAACTTTTCGAACGGTAACGTGTTCAACAACAACACGAAAAAAAAAGCTACGCGAAAAGAAACTTTTATTGTTGTTCCAAAGCTTCTCTCTCTCTCTCTCTCTCTCTCTCTTTTTAATATTCGCATCGATATCCTAATTTTAGAATTATTGAAGAATAAGTGACGTCAACGAAATATAATTGAATGCGCCCTGTGTGAAGTATTACGATGTGTATTATCTTTCTTCTTTTTTTTGGAAAAGCAAAGGGTTCTCGGAAAAATGGCTTACTTTTATTGAAACTTCACGTTAGCTTATATGACGTCAAACATTTATGCTTTTAAGCTGCGGTTGTATAAAGTTTATAAGAAATTGAACTTCATATCAGTTCATAATTTTACAAAATTCGCAGTAGCGCATTTTAGAAATTTGAACAATTTTTCGCAGTATGTTTAAATGAAGAGCTTTCTTTATTATATTGCAAACTTTTTATTCCTTGTATTCTAATTTCTTTGGTGCAAGTTTTATATTTCTATTGCCGATGGTTTCTAGTTAATTAAAGTTAGTTAAAGACAATCGAATATGCTAAACATTAAAATAGAAACAGTTATAATTAAGTAGCTTAATGTCACGAGCTTGCCTAAAGAAAGCAAAATGTATTTTAAAAAAAATGGAATGAAAATATTTCCTACAAATATAAAATCTAAAATATGTTGTAGCGAAATACAGATGAAAATAATAAACAACGTGTTTTGGTAAACACGTTTTGTCTAGACCTGTTGTTCCAGCGATGTTCTACAGCTTGTCTGACTTCGTCTGGGACGATCTACTTGCAGCCAGACATTCGATATGCGCCGGAAAAACGGGCCTTTTCTATTTCGTTAAAGTCGTAGAACATTGCTGTAAATGTGCTCTTCATTGATTATCTAAATATAGAAACTACGAACAGAGCGTACAGTCCGTTGTGTTTCGCGATTGATTGCTACCAGTATGTGTGTGCTCCTAATTAAATTTCGCGATTTTGCCAATTATCACGAACATATGTGATACCGATCGATTTCCAAAGTATCGTTGCTATTTAATTATCATCAAATTCTTAAGAATTCGTCGATAGAAACCTACGTTCCATAGAAAAAGTAATGTAGAAAAAGTTTCCAGGAGAAATAAAAGATTTCGAGTTAAACTCAGAGAAAAATTTAACAAAATTGCGGATTCCGAGAAAAAGTTACAAAGTGGACAAAGATGGTGGGCGAAATTAAATCGAACGATAATAGCAGAGTCATAAGTTGTAAATTTGGGGGAAAGTTTCCATAGAAATCGCGAATTTTCGAAATCTAGAATACGAAAACGATGGAAAAACCAGGTTAAACGATAGCAGTATAATCGTAAGTTGCCTCCGTTCGTTTTTGATGCTCGTAAACTTCGATCGTAAAGAAGAAAGGCACGAGATCGAATCGCAGAATTCAATGACCGCAATTCCACTATTGAAAAGGAATCGCCCCTGTGCTCTGCTTTAAGCTTTGCTGCACTTTATTGGAAATTCTGGCGTGCGTTGCCAACAAGCTGTGCAAGGGGATCGATTGGCGACACCAGGTCTAGGAAATTGCGTCTTAAAATCCATCTTGTAACAATTGAATTCTACAAATACGTATCCACCGAATTACGTCGAACGAAATTTAATTTAGACACTCGTGCATATGGAGCAACTACTTTGTCAATTTTAATATAACATTCGAGATAGGATTGCGAATACGAAAAAGGCTCACTCGTTCGTCTACATCATCGAAAAATTCGAAGATTCTTCAGGATAAATCAAACGTTTTCTCTTCTGATCGGGTGAAAATCGGCGAAGATTACAGAACGAAAGATTTGCATCTCTACGCTGAGGTATTTATCGATTTCGTCACGTCGATTTTATCCGACAGGCCTCGACGGCAATTTGTCGAGTCTAGAAATTCCATGTTCCCGTCCGCGAGAGTATTATAGATTCGCGGTGCGCCTCGATATAGACTCGCTCGCAGGGATTCACCAGCTCGCCACGAATTTCTCGAACCTTGCTTTTACTCGAACGTGACGTGAGCACACTTCTCTACGAGCACACGATCGTTCGGAATTTCCGCGGAAATCGTGAAGATTTCTACTCACATGTTGTTCGTCGGTCGCTGTTGGTTTCTTGAACTAGAGCTATCCGCTGACTTGCCAACCTCGTCAGATCACCGCGTACTTTTCACGAGCGACTGTCACCGACTACACGGCCGCGGTATTGATAAAATTTCCAGCGGTACCGCCGCGCCGTCGCTTCACCGTTATCTCGACTACCCTCGAACGATTTGAATCGTGCCCACCGTGTTCTCGGTTTTAACCATCGTGCACGTTCGATTTCTTTCCACCGATCGTCAGATCGATTGAAAAATTCGTCGAATCGGACGGTGCACGAGGTACATTGGCTGGAATATTGATATAAAGGAAATTTTCGTTTTGCTGATTAGGGGACGAGGATCGATGTATCGAACGAGCAAGTTCGAGTTGGGCGGCTCGGAACAGTGAGTAACGCGCGTGCGTAGATATTTCCAGTCAATAAAGGCGAGTCCGACGCAACCCTCATGCGCAAACACACCCTGAATGTAAATCAGGAACGTCAGCGTGCCTCTCGAAGGCCCGGGCCTTTCTGCCTCGAAAATAGGCCAACGACCGACACTGTTAGCCTCCTTGTTTCGTACCTTCGATACTTATTCACGTCGCTCCGCGATCGAATAAAACTTGAATATTTATAAGATAGTTGAAACGTCAAGGTTTCGTCGAGGTCTCGTTTGACGATCTCAACGATTTCGTCTCCCGCGTTAGAATTGGAGAAATTTTTGTTTCGCGTATACAACTAAGAGAGTTCGGCAAGTTCGTACGATCCTGGTAACGCGATGAGAACACGCGCACGAGCATCCGCAAGATGTTTTATTTATGCCCTCGTTACGATTTTTGTCGCGAGGCGAAGGTGTCGTCGTGAATTTCGCTTTGTAAGAATGTCGTCGGATGAACGCGGAGGAAGCTGCACAATGGATCATCCGTTTGGTGAGTTTTTAGAACGAGATTGAGAAAGATTAACAATTGCGAAATTCGATACTACTGTTTTTTCATTAATCCGAATGCAAGTTGTTACTCGTCAAGGTTCTTTTTAACAGCTAGACAAATATTCCGCTATTTATGATATTTAAATATTGGTGGATTTGTAATTATATACTTCAATTTCAAAATTTTATTCTGTGAACTTTGGTCTATAAAAAAAGAAAAAATCACGTGTTTTTTATATTATTTATTAAAACAGGTAAAAATATTTTTCATCGTAAGAGAATTAAAGTATCGTTACAATTTTAGAAAATAAAGTAGAATAGAAGGTATGTATCAAAGACTTCGAATGTGTTCATGATGTACATAATTGAATCGAGATGGCAGCATGTACACAATTTGAATTTAAAGTCCATGTCACTGTAAATTTGGCAATAAACGTAAGAGAATGCCCGTATCTCCCGAATGATTGTATCTCGTAATATTAGCTTATGAATTGAAGATTAGATTAGAAAAAGTACTTAGTCGTTTGTTGCATTTGACGGATCTTTTCATAATAAACATGACGTCATGAGTATCGCCATCTTTATTGTATGTCACGCACAATCGTAAAGTGTACTCGTCATCGAAGTAGAATTTTTGGGGATAACTGTAATTATCTTTGAACAACTCGCATCCTTGTCAAGGTCTTCATAAATCTTTCATTTTCGAGTAAGTTGTCGTTATTTTCTTGTTTACACTTTGCAAAGCAACATAAATCAATTTATTTTTAGTGAAATCGTATCGCATAACTGTAACCACAAGTACATATTTTAGTGTACTGTATTGTTAAGTACGGTTAATTTAATAACGATCTTACATTTATATCGTGTTCATTAAAAACCGTAACGTATTCTACAAAATTATACTTGAATAATTTCGCTTGTTTAAATGTCTCGCGAATTTTGAGGTTATGGGTGTGTTCAACAGTTGGTACATGTTGTTACACTTTACCAAAAGTTATAATATCAAAATCTGATGTAAAGTATCAACCGGAACTGATGTTGGTTTGAATTTGCATTTACAATTTATTATATGTGATTTCTTTGGTTTGATTTCAGAATGGAAGGCAGTGGTAATTCGAGAGATGGAGAAGCGGGTGGTCCACGGAGTTCGCAACCAGCTTCAACCAAAAAGCTGCAACAAACACAAGCAACAGTTGACGAGGTCGTGGGGATAATGAAAGTTAACGTGGAGAAAGTATTGGAAAGAGATCAAAAGTTGTCTGAATTGGAGAATCGTGCTGACGCTTTGCAACAGGGAGCGACTCAGTTTGAACAACAAGCAGGAAAACTGAAAAGGAAATACTGGTGGAAAAATCTCAAAATGATGATCATCATTGGTATTATATGTGTGCTCATTCTTATTATCATCATCGGTAAGTGATATTTATAAAAAAAAATATATATATAAATAGTTGCATTGAATTATAGATTTAAACGGATATATTTTAATGTTTGCAATAGCTTCAACCGTATCAGGTTCATCGAGTTCTGACAATCCCTCTAAGTGATCGCATTATATCAAATGGGATATAATGCTCTGGAATTGTTAATTTATGTCTAACAGTCAAAGTTAATTCAGGCAGAGTAAGTGGTAAGCGCACACAAAGTTAGAGATAATATATGATGGTTGTAAAAACACATGATTCACATGTTCTGTCCAAACGAATTGCGATCCAATTAATACGGAAAAAAAGGGTGAAAAAGGAAAAGAAATACATATATGTATATTTTTGAGACTTAAACATATTCAAACGCACAATTTATTAGACTAATTACAGTATTAACAATGGGTGGCCTTCCTGTAAATCTGTGAACGGACAATACATTTCATAATGTTATCTTGTTACGATGCTTATTGTACATTTATTATCGATATATAATATATAATATAACGTTTATACTTTTTTCCATCGGACTTAATATAATTCAGGCTTCCGTTTCGCCTTTGCTCCTCTCCAAACATCAACGTCCAACGATCCCACGCGCAATTTCTACATGTCTATAGTTCAAACACAGTGGTGCCAAACGATAGAAAAAGGATTTGATCATAGCAGTCAGTGCGACCATTCGGCTGCGAAGCCCATCGCGATTATGTACCTAGAACGTTCGCGCTCATTAATATTCATGTACTGACGTTCTCCTGCGAATACCGTCATGCTTCTTAACACCAAAGTGACATCAATACCGTCGAATTCGGTGAAAATCGTTCGATTCAATCGTCAGAATCGTACCGTATTGGAAACGTAGAAGAAAGTTCACAAATTTTCCTGCTCCTGTCACTCGTATCTTCTTATCGTATTACGTATTAAATTGAAACTCGTATTACGTGTTCAAATTGAAACTGATAATAAATCACGTTTACACCTCACTACATTACGTACGTAGGCAACAAACACATCTGCGTACTTGTTTACTCGATTGACGATCCAACTAGACGCTTTTGTCCGTTTGATCAAAATATCACGACTGATTAGTGCATGGTCGATGGCTAATTATCGAGGAGGTGAGGTATTTATTCGAATGGTGTAGCGCTTATATGTACCTTGAGAATAGAGAGGAGGCAATGCATGAGTCGATGGTCAAGGTGTCTGATGTCTGTGGTCGCGATCGAAGGACGATTTAACGGGACAATAGAGCAAAATGGTCAGTTACGCGTGCCATTTTTCTTTCTTCCTCTGTCGTTCTATTCTACTCACGAACGTAAATAATACTTCGTAAACAGGCCAAAGAAACTTCAGCTTCAAACAGTGTTACGAATTTTCTCGGTAAGGATCAACTGAAGTTCGTCATTTCTTCTCTTAGATCCCTTGTCAGAAGGGGAAGATACTTCGCGAAGAAGCAACGAGCAACAGGCAATCTCGGTTAATTTGAATTACATAATTACATCTGTCGGAGAGCGTGCGAGAGACAGATAACATATAATCGTAAGTCTATCGCGTGAGCCGATACGCTGATCGAATTATCTGCTAGAGCTCGCTAGAGATTAGCAATTATATCTAGTCTATCTGATACGTCCGCCATCTCGAGCGGAATCGTTTTTACGAGCGTGTGTCATCACCATCGTCGCGCCCATGCTTGATGAAAACGGCGAAACCGCCACGGCTAGTCGAACGATCGTTGACACACAATAAACGAAGTGTCGAAGTCACGTGTCGAACAGTGTCAACCGACCGGGGCAAGAATACCGATTTTTCCTGTAAAACCGAGGCAGAAATCTCAGCCGTTTCATTCATACACCTATCAGTCGGCTGACGACCGTCCAACCGGACAGTCGCTCGTGAAGCGCGTCTCGTATCAACGATATCGTAGGTCAGACGACCCTCGAGACCCTTCGAATCGTCTTCGTCTCACTGAGAACCATCTCGTACATGATCACGTCTTGATATCCACTCATCAAACAACAAATTACGAAAACGAGTTTGTCGCGGAACGAGTGAAAGTTTCCGAGGAACATCACACGTTCTTTCTTGCACGCGTATTTGTTTATGTCACCATCGGTGAATTAGTTTTCGTGATTGGTCTGTTTCTCGGATCGTTCGTTGGATCGGTTTCGTAGAAATCGGATTTAAAACTCACGAATCGATTAACTCCGGCAGATCGAAAGGATACGATACTGTTTCATAAGAAAATTAGCAGGGACACGAAAGTGAAGCATTATCGTAGAACTTTTTTTAACGACGTTCAGTGGGGGAACTAATTGTTTTTCTTTCTGTATGACTGTTCGGTAGCCGATCTCGACGCGTGTTTCGCAGTTAGTGGCTATCGTGCGCGTGTTTTGGAGCCGCGTTAGCCAGATACGCGACGCCGTTTTTACTCGCGCGTTCGACGCGTTGGAATGTTCGCGATTCAGACAGGATAGACTGCCGATAATAAATCGGAAAATCGGAAGAAGAGGAAGAAGAAGAAGAAGAAGAAGAAGGAAAGAACACGCGTGTGACGAAACCGATAGTTACTCAGAGTGGTCCGTTGACGATACGTGATCTCGCCGATGCGTCTGTATAATCCCACGCGCAGCTTACTTATCTGTAACTTTATAAATATTGAGAGAGGAGCGGAAACAGTCGAGTGGTATCGTGTTTTGAAACCGGTGTCTACGTACGAAAGGATCGTCGAGTTGGCGAGTCGCGTGGCGGCCGATGCCCGGCTAGAAATGCTCGAAGATCGTCCCGTACTCCAAGACGATAGATGTGTCCAAAACAGGGATCGTGCTTGATAAGCCGCGGTGACAGGAGGGGAAAAGGACGAGACAACAACGATTAGTGAAGATTTAGCTTGATCTAACCTCCTTCTGCTCTCCTTTCTCACTCGTTCGTCAGTTTGTCCATTTCGCGTCGCGTTGAGTTTCGAATTCGAATAGTGCACGATTCTGTGATCGAAGCTTCAACATGGCATCGTCCGGCATCGAAGAGAACGACGAGTACGGCCTGGGATATCAAAACACGTTGGTAAGTTCATCCTCAGACGACTTCTGTGTCGTTATATTTCTCAAGTCTTTTAACGCTCGTTCAATGTTTTTCAATGTTCTGATTACCGTATCAGTGTACTTGTCTCTGTTTGTACGTTTCAATATTAGTGTTCTGATAAAATATTGAAGAACTTACCAATTCTAAGTAAGTTAAATTATTAAATCGTTGGAACGAAAAGAAGAAGTATTCTTTTTCTTTCTTTTAATGCTAGAGCACACGAATAGCCGTACTAGTGCAAGCAGTTACCTCAGTGACTGTGTTTTTTTCGAGTTATCGAGGGAAAACACGATACAATACGAACAATTAAACGAACGACAAGTTGATCTACGATAAATTATAGAGACGGCCGATTATTTTCGTTTCGGATCGATTTATAATATAAGAGAGTTTAAGCGAAAGCGACGCCAAAGCAAGGGTTGCGAACCTATTTTCATGTTTATTCTTGGCCACGATGCGCTGCTAGCCGCGAATAGTTCGCTTGCGAGCGCGATTTATGCCTGGGACAGGGACAGAGAGACACCACGTGCTTCTCTACTTTCACGCGTGCATTTTCAACACGCTATCTCGCCGATCCGTTCTCAGCTGATTGTCAGCTGATCAGCACGCCTAAACGGCCAACCTTCGCTAATTCATCGGATCGTGACAGGTACGCACGTTTGTTTGCACAGACTCGTGAATCACGTCAGAAATCTGTGATTTTAATACTCGTCTTTGTTTCGTGACCTGGAAATCATACGTACAAGTGCTTTTCCATTTCGAGTTTTAAGTTATCTCTTATCAGGAGATCCGCTTGTTTGTTCTGGTTTCACGGAATTCCTAGGCAACGGTGTTCGTCGTGTAGCCAGTTGCAAACTAGTTGACATAGAGAATTGCATTTCAAATGTGTATATTTTAGAAGATGAAGGACGAATTTGACGAAACGATACGTGTAGTAACATTTTGAAATTTTATTATCGCTAAAATATATATAAGACTTAGCTACCATGATTATATTCAAGCTTGAAGCAAATCTGAAAAAAAATATATAGAAATTACAAGATATATATTTAAACAGTTACAATCCATATATATATATATATATCCATATCCATATCAATAATCGTTATTATTCAGTGGGACCATTTTTGACAATTGTTACATGCTTCAGATGACTGCATAGTCCTGTTTTATATCAATCCTTTACTGAACATAAACGTAATTATAATAATCGCTTCTCACTGCAGTGTTAGTGAAATTTCGAAATATCTCAAGCTTGAATCGTTGAACATCTCTTTGAAACGTAAATTCTTGTCTATATGTTTCTTTAGTAGAATCTTTAGCAAGTTCTTTTTATAATTACGAAAAAGACATATAATAATATATGAAATAACATATTCGAAAATAGGTCAGTAGGAGATAAGATATTTTGTTTGAATAACAAAATGTTCGAATAATATTCTGCATTGGAATAAATTTCCTAATGAAGAATCAGCGAGAACAGCAAATCTATGCGTGATTTAATATCTTATTAATCGAAAGTTTCTGCGTACATCGAAGTTCAATCAACGAATAATAATAGCAGTGTGTAATATTAAACTACTTGCAGACATAGTCATTATTCCAAGAACATTTGAAAAATTCATTCAGGCTCTTTATTAAACCGGTTGTTTATGAATTGCCGATAAATTATGTTCTTACACGACCCGGTCTTAGGAAAAACCACATTTTCTTGCGATTTTAAAGTCTAGACTTCGTCTTGACCGCGTGACTCGTGTGGCCAACGACGTTCCTTTTCTTTTTCCCTTCTTTCTACCCTCACGTGCAGACGTGATTTTGCAACAAATAATGTAACGATGTCTGCCAACTTCGCCGCCGGATTTTCAGACCTTCATATCGTATCATAGCAAGCGCGAAGACAATGCGTCGCGTCACTTTCGAAACACCCTCCGTGAAATTCTAGGGCAGCTTGCCATTTCTCTCGACGTCTCTTCTGTTTGTCTTCTTGCTTGCGAGAAGAATAATTGTGAAAGGAAGTTTAAAACGATCGCCGCTGCGTTCGTGTT